AAGACGAATATGAACTAATGTAACAATGTAACAGGAGGACATTTTTCACCTTATAAATATCAAATTAACTGAATATTTTATGGAATCGAGAAGATTCTTTTAAATTTGACGTTCGTTAAGGGGTGGTTGTAATTATCCAAACATGAACGAAATTTTTTGTATTTGTTCTTAGTTGTGAGTGGCCGTAATCTAGCCTCATAAAATTAGTAACTTGTTAATTTGTGATTTTGCGACCACAAGAGATATATATGCACCAAGAGGAGTAAAATTTTTTTTTTATTATATATCAACGAAATGCAGTAAAATTGGTTAGATATCAGTCAATTATCAATTATACCGACGTATATTGAAAAATGCTGTGATTCTATAGTGGGGGTTAAAAACGGAAAAACAAATTTACACGGTTTTCAAGCCCAGTCTGCAAATCTCAGCTGACGTGGGCCCATCCCATTGGGCCGTCTTCTTCTTCATTTCCTCAAACCCATCCACACACCGGCCCATATCCAAGGCCCGTATTCTCTTTCTAGCAGCTGCCAGATTTTCTCCCGCCACGTCATCAAACAACTCCTCCCACCCACTCTCCCACGCGCCGCGCGCGTCACAAAGATCCAACGTGTCATTCCGCCACTCTGTCCAGCTCCATCCTTTATTCAGCCCACTCATAATGGGCCCCACACAGGTCTCACTACAAGCCGGCCTACACGGCCGGCACTTGGCGCCGCTAAGCGGGCCCATGCTCGAGATCGCAGCCACGGGCACACCGAAACGGGCGGGCGGAAAATCGTACTTCCGATCCGTCACTATACAAAACGGGAGCCGCTTCGCGGCGAACACGACCCCTTGGGTCGTAAGTTGGGCCTTGAAAGCGGTCTCCGAGTTCAACTGGGTCAACCCGGCCGAGTCGAGCTGGGGAATCAACGAAAGCCTCGAGAGCGCCACCACCGAGGTGTTGTAGTCCCCTACGCCGAAACGGTCGTTCAGCCCACCGTAAGACGAACCTGGTGGAACCAAATACCGACCCGGTACGAAGTTCTCGGGTCCTAACGGTTCGGACCAGTACCCGTCAACTCTCGTCCGGATTATCCAATCATATGTGAAGTTGTTCTTTTCTTGATATGCTTTGATCATGGTTAGGCATCCCTCCACCAGATTGAAATACTGCAACAAGCCCTACAAAAGAGAAATTCGGGTCGGTGAGATGAAATGACCATTTTACCCCTACATGCATCTAGTTTCAAGAATATGATAATTATGCACATGGGAGGAGACATTGATCATTAGGTGGGGTTTTATATATAAAATATTCTGACAAATGTCCCAAAGTAAATAATTTTTAATTGATCTCAGAATCATGTAAGAATTCTAATTCCCATATAAATAAATGCCTAAATGGAATGTTTTTTTTTTATGGGTGGATTTGAAAAGTCAATGAAGTCAAGAAAGCATTGACTTTTAAGATGAAGCAACAATGAAGATCTTAGCTGCAAAATTGCCAACTAGCTGGTCCATTAGTTTGATGAATAATAATAATTCTAACCTAAATTTCACCTAAAATGGGAGTACACCAATTGATGAAAATGACCTAACCATGGTTTGATGTACTAACCCATAACTACATAATACGAAACGAGAAACGCAGACCTCACAGCAAATGCTAATGCTATTTACAATGACCAAACAGAAAGTCTCTAGACGAATTTCATGAACCACCTAAACATCAAACATACATGTTGCACACTCAATTTAATTTCCTCGGTAAAGAATTGCATGTTGCAACGAAAACCTCAGCAAATGTTATATGGTATTGTAAACAGAAACACAGCCTCTTTAGTCTTCACTAAGGTTCTTTAACTTTACGATGAAAAGTTTCGAATTATAAGAGATCGTGGGACCTAACCTGACTAACCTCGATTAAAAAAAAAAAACCCTTCTCCAGAAAATTTGATTATTCAACAAAGAGAACCTTCAAATCAAGAATGTCGCCTATTTTCTTCGAAACGTCAATTACATTGTGTACTAGTCAACACGATAATCTGATCCAAACGAATCAATTAATGAAATCAGAGTACAAAAATCAAACTTCCCTTGCAATTAGTGAAAATTCAAAGACGACAACCGAAATTAGACGGCTTTAAAACACCTATTAAAGATTCAACTTTTAAATGAACAACGCGTACGGGACTAAAAGTCGAAGATTGTAGGAAACAATACCAACAAATTTGGCAGGAAGTAGCTATAAACCGATAGAAGCTTTCGTCCAAATTTGGGGTGGACGGATACAACAAAACTCACCAATCTAATAAGCTAACATTTCGCTTTCGCCCAATACCAAATTTTCCGAAAAAAGAAAATTATTAAATACAACTGAACAACAATTCACCCCCAACTGAAAAACCAGCAATCAATAATTGCAATATGCAATATGCAAATTAACCATTTAATTCTCGTAAAAAAAACTGCGATTAACGACTTTTTAAGCAACAATTAAAAACTTGCTAAATTTATAAAATTTCGAATAATTACGTGGGTTAGTTAGTTACCTGTATACCGTTGGGCGAGTTTTGGGCGGTGAGAACTCGGACCTGTGACTCGGTCTCTGGTATGGGGGTGGGTTTGAATATCTTTACGGCCGCAATTTTCGGGGCGTCGTTCAGCAGTAGAAACTTGTAGGAATTGGCGTCCAACGGGCTATGGAGGAAAAGATCCGAATTTTCGTAAACCCGAAGGACCCTTTCCAGAATGGAGGGTCCGGTGAGCTCGAACCTCCGGGCCCCGCCCACCAAACAAACCGCAATTCTCGACCCGTTTAGGGGGTTCGCGGGTCGGTTACTGGGGGCTTCGGCGGCGTGGCCGGAGAATATGGATTTGAGAGGGGGGAAATTTGAGAGGGGGAAACTTGCGAACGGAGGAGGAGGAGGAGAGGGAAACGTAGGTTAGAAAGGTGACGGAGATTAGGATGAGGGTTAGGATCCGCCAGTCGAGATCCAGGGCCCGTCTTGGGAATTGGGTCAGGATCTTTGCCGGGTTTTTCATTTTTGCATTTACCAAAAGAAAAATGTAATCTTTGATTACAGTTTATATATCATCTCTCTTGGGTTTTGTAGCCATGGTTTCTTCTCCCCCCTGAACAGCAGAGATACGTGGAGAGAAATTAAAATCAACGAATGGCGCTTTCTGCGTGTAGTTATGCGTGTAGAGAGAGAGAGAGAGAGAGAGAGATCCAAGAGGGTGAGTACAAAACTACGATTTTTCCAAAGGATGTTGAAATTTGGAAGATTTCTTGAATTGTTAATTATTTATTTATTGTTCTTCTGGTTATGGTTTTATGCTGAATGGTTGGGTAGTTGAAACTCTGAATAGTTTTTGATTTTAGGGTAATTGTGATTTGGAGGGGGGGTTTTTGATGATGGTGGTGGTGGTGTGTGTGTGTGTTTTTTTTGGTCCGAAAAAGGGGTGTGAAAGTATTATTTGAGGAAGGAATAGTAGGCTTTTAGTTTGAATTATTCTTTTAGCTGCATGTAATTAATTCCAAATAGGGCACTCAAAATAAGAAGAATAGAGATTTTGGGTATATTTTCGTAATTTTGCTTCGCTTTTTTGGGTATAATTTGCATTATTTTAGCAAATTTGATACCCACAAAAAAAAAAAAAAATAATAAAAATAATAATTAAAAAGAAAAACTGGGTACTAAAATGTGAGAAGGGGAGAAAGGTGGACGAAGACATGTCGACATGATCTGATAATGTGGGCCCAAACGCGGAGGCTGGAAAATTAATCAGCTTCTCAATCATGGAATTTAATGCCACGTCATCTGAAAATTCACACCATTATTTTTGTATTATTGCAAACTTGGAATTTTCAGCACGTTCACCTACTCTCATTTACATATGAAAATATATATATATATATATATATACATTTAAATTTAATATATTTCCCCCATTCAGTTTTATTAATGATATATATTTTAATACT